TGGCTTCAAATTAAACAAACTTACAGAATGAGAGCCAAGGGAAAAGGGGTTGAAAAATAAATGCTTTAAAAATAAAATATACGTCGCTAAGACTTATTATCTAATGCAAGTGACAATGCATCATGTCGCCAACATTCTGAGTACAGTCACCCTCTGCAAAGATGCTGTTAGCTCGGAAGTGAAGCAAGTCTGTGTATCACCCTGCCCGCAGACACTCGCACTGGATGCCAGTAAATGAACTAAACCGCTTCCCAACCTCCTCCAACTCCACAACCACCATAACCTGTGATTTAGAACATCAGCATCTCACCAGTAATATCCTTTGCTAAGAGAAAAGTTCAATAGGAAAGTATACTCAAAGTGCCTATGAGTTGCGATCAATCATGTTAAAAATTACAAAATAAATTCTAAGCCACTAAAAGTTACCTGGTCATATTTCCCAACAGCATGCTATTATGCCTAAAAGGAAGTGAATACCTGAGAAGCACAACAGGAGAAGATACACAATGGTCAAGTATATCAGGTGCTCACAGATGGTGAGGTGGTTGAGGTGCTGAACTCTTACATGGCTGACCATGGTTCAAGTCCTAGACTTGACACTTGCTTTCTCATTTTCCCTCTCTCTCTCTCTGGACAAATTAAAAAATAATAAAGATAATAATAAATAAAATTAAATAATTCTAAAATATATAAATAAATAAACAATGGTCTCAAATTATGGGTCGCCATCTTAAAAGATCAAAAGGAAAAAAGAAAACACCCACTTTCATGTTGCCAAAAACACATGTTAGATAAAATCTGACATCTCTAAAGTATCCATCTTTGACGAAAAACTCTTTTTATTTAGATGCTTACCTTCTTACTATGGTATACCTATAAATTCTATCCTAAAAGCATGCACCATACTTTAGTAAGAGAAAACGAAGTTTTCCTGGTAATCACAAAGCAAAGACGTCTATCTTTGCCTCTGTCCTTCAGCATGGTTTCCGATGCCGGGGTACGCACAAGTAGGAAAGAGGGAGAAACGGTATATACATTACAGCCGAAGACATTAAAATACCATGACTTGGAATACTATTACATATTTGGAAAAACAAACAACTAAAAACCCAATCTAAACCCTAGGAGAATTCAGTATGCTGATTAAACACAAACCAAAATGCAGAAATCACAAGCCTTCAAATACACCAGGGAACAAGTAGTGAAAAAATACAATGAAAAATAGAAGTACTTATAACAGACAACCTAAAAATAAACTTAATAAGGATACAAGATCTATTAATATATGAAGAAAACATTAAAACATTCCTGAGAAACACAAAACCTGAGTTCATGGAAAGACCCCATGTTTTGATTGATGCTTAGATTAATGAATTCCACAAATTTTATGCAATCCCAGTGAAATACACAACAGAATGTTAGGACAGGAGAGTAGGGGATGCGACAAGCAGATTCTAAATTTCATATGGAAAAATAGGCAAGCAAAAGTAGGTGGGACAGTTCCAAGGGAAAAGGAGCTGAAAAATAAAAGCACCATGAAAGGAATTAGCTAATAATGTATATTGCAAAAACTCAAAACAGTGGTACTATCGGATCATCAGGAAAGTCGCGACATATTTTTGCACAGAAAAGTATGTCATGCAGCCTGCCACACTGGGCCAGCAGGTGCCTGCTTCCTGCAGGAGGCACAGGCCGCTTGGTATCCACCAAGACAAGGCAGAGCTGTGCGTCCTCACCCCCGGCCGCCATGCCCGGTCTGCGCAGCTGGGGTGCAGGTGGGTAGTGGGTAGCAGGTTGCGGGGCCCTGCCCACCCACCTGCGGTCCGCATCTCGGGTCTCCCTACGGCCGCCCAGCGTGGAAGGGAAGCACCTGCTGGAACCCTCTTTCACGCATGCTCTGCGGCTCGTCAACCAAGAAACTGAAGAGTTCCAGAAAGGAGAAGGCAAGGATGAAGGAAGCACACTGGTGGATGGTGAATAATGGGAAGCTGGGACAGAAAGTGTGGATTCCTGTAAAATAGTTCCCTGAGTTCAACTTTGTGGGAAAACTTCTGGGTCCACGCGGCAATTCCCTGAAGCCTTTACAAGAGGAAACCTGGACAAAAATGCCTGTCCTTGGGAAAGTCCCATGAGAGCAGGCACAGGAGACAAGCTGGGGAAGCGGAGGGATGCTCCCGCCGAGAAGCTAAGCCTGAGCGGCCCAGAAAACACAGCCAGTGGGGACCAGCAGTTAGCGTAATGGCTATGTCGCTGGACTCCCATGTATCCACCCGAGGAGAAGGGACTGCGGCGTGTCCATCCCCCCAGGGGTTGGTTTCTTGCTTTCTGTCTCTCTGTCTCTCTCTTTCTGGCCAACACACGCGCCCTACAGCAAAAACCTCTCCCGAAAAAAAAGATTGTGCTGAAACACACACACACACACACACACACACACATTTTCTAAGTATGGATTACTGAACGGGTCTGAAAGACTACTGGAGAAAAAAGAGGTAACCAAAAAAAAAAAAGAGAGAGAAAGAGAGAAAACACTGTTTATATATATGTAGACTATTTCCAGAAGAATACATAAGAAACAAGTATGGAAAAATGAGCATTTGCAAAGCAAGGATGAAGATATAATTATGTACAAAAATGTAAAGAATAAAATAGCACCAACTAACAAGATTCGGTAAACCAATATTTAGAGTGACTGCATTTTTATGATTTGTTACAGAAAACTTACAAAGGCCAGACTCATATAAACAATAAATGCAGGACATGATTCTCTGTACGTAAGGAGTAAACTGGGTTAAACCCAATCTAAACCCTAGGAGAATTCAGTATGCTGATTAAACACAAACCAAAATGCAGAAATCACAAGCCTTCAAATACACCAGGGAACAAGTAGTGAAAAAATACAATGAAAAATAGAAGTACTTATAACAGACAACCTAAAAATAAACTTAATAAGGATACAAGATCTATTAATATATGAAGAAAACATTAAAACATTCCTGAGAAACACAAAACCTGAGTTCATGGAAAGACCCCATGTTTTGATTGATGCTTAGATTAATGAATTCCACAAATTTTATGCAATCCCAGTGAAATACACAACAGAATGTTAGGACAGGAGAGTAGGGGATGCGACAAGCAGATTCTAAATTTCATATGGAAAAATAGGCAAGCAAAAGTAGGTGGGACAGTTCCAAGGGAAAAGGAGCTGAAAAATAAAAGCACCATGAAAGGAATTAGCTAATAATGTATATTGCAAAAACTCAAAACAGTGGTACTATCGGATCATCAGGAAAGTCGCGACATATTTTTGCACAGAAAAGTATGTCATGCAGCCTGCCACACTGGGCCAGCAGGTGCCTGCTTCCTGCAGGAGGCACAGGCCGCTTGGTATCCACCAAGACAAGGCAGAGCTGTGCGTCCTCACCCCCGGCCGCCATGCCCGGTCTGCGCAGCTGGGGTGCAGGTGGGTAGTGGGTAGCAGGTTGCGGGGCCCTGCCCACCCACCTGCGGTCCGCATCTCGGGTCTCCCTACGGCCGCCCAGCGTGGAAGGGAAGCACCTGCTGGAACCCTCTTTCACGCATGCTCTGCGGCTCGTCAACCAAGAAACTGAAGAGTTCCAGAAAGGAGAAGGCAAGGATGAAGGAAGCACACTGGTGGATGGTGAATAATGGGAAGCTGGGACAGAAAGTGTGGATTCCTGTAAAATAGTTCCCTGAGTTCAACTTTGTGGGAAAACTTCTGGGTCCACGCGGCAATTCCCTGAAGCCTTTACAAGAGGAAACCTGGACAAAAATGCCTGTCCTTGGGAAAGTCCCATGAGAGCAGGCACAGGAGACAAGCTGGGGAAGCGGAGGGATGCTCCCGCCGAGAAGCTAAGTCTGAGCGGCCCAGAAAACACAGCCAGTGGGGACCAGCAGTTAGCGTAATGGCTATGTCGCTGGACTCCCATGTATCCACCCGAGGAGAAGGGACTGCGGCGTGGCCATCCCCCCAGGGGTTGGTTTCTTGCTTTCTGTCTCTCTGTCTCTCTCTTTCTGGCCAACACACGCGCCCTACAGCAAAAACCTCTCCCGAAAAAAAAGATTGTGCTGAAACACACACACACACACACACACACACACACACATTTTCTAAGTATGGATTACTGAACGGGTCTGAAAGACTACTGGAGAAAAAAGAGGTAACCAAAAAAAAAAAAGAGAGAGAAAGAGAGAAAACACTGTTTATATATATGTAGACTATTTCCAGAAGAATACATAAGAAACAAGTATGGAAAAATGAGCATTTGCAAAGCAAGGATGAAGATATAATTATGTACAAAAATGTAAAGAATAAAATAGCACCAACTAACAAGATTCGGTAAACCAATATTTAGAGTGACTGCATTTTTATGATTTGTTACAGAAAACTTACAAAGGCCAGACTCATATAAACAATAAATGCAGGACATGATTCTCTGTACGTAAGGAGTAAACTGGGTTTGAAATTTGGCAAAGGGTTTTATTTCTTGGCTATCGTTAAAGGTTAAAAGTAAACTGGGACAACGTCAAATATCTCTACCCTCTCACTGCAGCAGCAATGAGCACTAAACAGCAATGTCTATTATCTCACTACTTCAGCTACACAGGGGCGATTGGCAGAACCTTCTGTCCCTATTCCAGAATTAGCCTCTCTGCAGTAACAGTTACGACAGAAAAGAAATGCTTCCTTTTCTTGACATATGTACCTTATAGAGTAGTTATACTGCACGTTTTCCACTTACTAATCTTACAGGAGTTTCAACCACCTCACGTCAAGTCAGGTGCTTACTTCAAGTTTGTAAACACTGAATATGCAGAACCGTTTCAACAGTCGGCCATTGTACCAACAGTCTGAATTATTAATTGCAAAAACATGAACAGTGGAATGAGAACAACTTTGGCAGCACTTCGGCCCACTTAGTGGTAGGAAAGAGAACGCGTGTTTGGGGTGGACCACGGCACTCAGAAGGCCCGAGCCTCACCTTCTTCTGAAGAACATTGACCTTCCTCTCCTTGACATCCAGCATGTCCTTGAGGTCATGGATCTCTCCGGCCTGTGTCCCCTTCTCCTCAGCCATATCCTGAATCTGTTTTGTCTTTTTATTCAGCATGGTTTCCTTCTCTTCCAAACGCAATCGGAGAGCATCCACCTAGGAAGGTAAGATTTTACAAATGATCAATTGGGAGGTGGAAGGGGATGGAAGGAATGCAACTTTTCCCCCAAATAGATGAGTTGTAAGTTTAGTTAAGTTTTGCTACATCTATAAAAGTATTACCATCTTCAACTATGCTTCTCAACTTTGAGCACATCAGAAATATCTGGAGGGTTAAGGGAGATGGCCAGGCACAGCCGCCAGAGCCTCTGCTTTGCGGGGTCAGGGTTCAAAATCAGTACAGATGCTCATCAGCTTACAATGGGTTACACCTAGTCTCCTGAGGTTAGTCTACTACCTAAACATACCCGGAACACTGACATCAGCCTGCAACTGGGTAAAATCATCTCACATGAACCTGTCTTACAATACGTTGTTCTATATCTCCTGTTATATATAGAATACTTTCCCCAAAATAAAAAACAGAACAGCCATTTGGTTACTCGCTGTATGGTCTCACCGAAAGCGTACTGCTTCCGCACCAACATAAAGTCGAAAATCACTGTCAGAGCATTGTAAGTTGGTGACTGCCTGTGTTTTTAACAGGTTCCAAAGTGATGCTACATTGCTTTAGAATCGCTTAAACTGCAACGAAAACCAAAAGCACCCCGAGCATGACACTCAATGTGTCAGGTATCACCATCCCGCATCGGCTACAGTGCTTTTACGACAGACAACGCCACGATGCACTTGGATAGCCACACCCGGCAAAAGCTACGGTGCACTTTCCGATGCACTAACTACCAAAGTCTGGCATCTGGTCACGTTTATTCCTGAAGTTTCAACAGCTTTCATTAAAATGTCATTTTAATACAACAAGAAGTCTAATGAGAGTATTCATTTTAAGATCCATTCACAGCAAATTTCACTAAGCTTTTTTTAGTATCCCACAAATATTTACACACCAGTTTTTTGTCTGTTTTTTGCTTTTCAATCAAGGATTAAGACTCCAGAAAATCATTACACATCTGATCACAACAATCACAAATATGACCGGGTAGAATTTTTAATTTCCTGATAGTCATATTAAAAAATAAAAAAAGTAACAGGCAAAATTTATTTTAGCCGTATTTTACTTAACCTAATATGACTACAATACTGTCATTTCAAACATGTGAATTCCTATACAAAACTATAAATGAGCTATCTGACATCCTTGTTCCGTACTAAGACTGCGAAGCTCAGTGTGTATTTCCATTACGCGGCACCTCAACTGGGCTAACCACTCAAGTGCGTAACGGCCGCGGATGGCGAGTGCTGTCGCCTGGGTGGCCGGCTCTCAGATGCAGTGTCTCTGCAGTGTCTCTAACTTGTCCTACATTACCTTTCCTGTCTGACTGGATTAGCCCGCAGAGAAAAAACAGGTCACATAGGTAATGGCGGGCACTGAAAGTACACCAACGCCCTCAGGAAAGACCTCAGACTGCACGAGAGCCGCGCGGCACCTGAGGACCAGTTCTGTGTGTGTGGTGACACTGCTCAGTAAGAATTACGGAGAATTTCCTAGGAGACTAGACTCATTTGAAACTGCTATCGTTAAGTCATTAAGCATTTTCAAGTGATGCTGCACTCTGCTGGAAAGAGAAACATGTAAATAAACCATATCTCACCCTGCTGACCTGTATTCACACTAACCACTTCTACTCCACCAGTCTCACCAAGCCAGAAACTGAGAAAGCAATCCTCACAAGTTCCGCCATGTCCTCTCAACATCCTTTCACCTCTCATTTACCTCCGCTCTACTTTAATAAGAAAAAACCTTCCTGTAGTCTAAGAGTCACCTAAAAACCTTAAAACTGAAAATGTCTTTTCTGAATCGCGAACACTTCTCTTTCTCCCACTCCACTGAGTCCGCTCTGCCCACAGCACCACCTCTGGTCTATCACCTCCATCTTTTCTTCATTCATCTCTATTCCGTCTCTCTCCCCATCATACCTATTTCAAACATAGACTCACATCATCCTTTTATAACTATACGTGTATATGCTTGTCAGCCAAAGGAGACTTCAAACTTCCATGAAAAAATGGAATCAAACTCTGAGTTTACTGTCCTGCAAAAAATTTTGAAATGCATGCATTTTTTTTATAATATGCATTTTGTATGAACTTTCTGAATAGACCCTCGTATGCACGACACATGAAAATCCTCGCAGTTCTATCCTCAGGCATCGTACTTCCTTCCTTGCACGCTCCCTGTGGAAAACGTCATACTCTCGGAAGGCACCATGGGAAATTGGTACTTAAGACAAGGCAGCAGACCCAAGGTCTCCCAGCTAGAAGTCACAGCGCAGGGACACAGGCAAGCCACCTCCATGTTCTATACTCTTTTTTCTTTAAAGAGGCCTTTGCCTTAAGGCACGTGCACTAGCCGAAGAGAGACAGAGACAATATAAGAAAAAGTAAGAAATCGCCCCCCATATGGCCACTCCCAATCCCTTCTCCCCAGTTCTGGGATCTTGGGCACGCACACACATACACCCGGCGCGAGTTTCAAGCCACCAGGTCTCCCACATGCAGGTACTGCTGTTGTTTGAATGTGGCCTTCCACAAGTCAAGTGCTGTCACTGCCATGGCATTAAGAGGCAGGGCCCCCGCGAGGTGATTAGGCATGAGGACTCCTCCCTCACCAATAGGATTAAGACCTGTACAAGAGAGGATTCAAGCAACGCTCAGTCCCTCGCCCTTCTGCCTTCCACCATTCCCAGGTGTAGCCACAAGGTACCATCTGGGAAGCAGAGAACAGCCCTCACAAGACAGTAAAACCTCCCGCCCGCTAGAACTGTGAAAAAATAAGTTCCTATACTTGACAACTCACCCAGTCTACAGTATTCTGTTACAGCGCACATGAGGAGCAAGACGAGTACCCATATTCATGGAAAACAGATTCGACACTAATCAGAGAGGAAAGGGGAAGATCCCTAACTCGTATCACACACAAAACGAATTCCATGTGAAGAAAAGATCTACATATGAGAAGCAAACCTTTAAAGCTTTTAGAATATAAGAAAGTACATTAGGAACCAGCAGTTGGCGTAATGGCTATGTCGCTGGATTCCCACGTAGTCGACCGCGGTTCGTGTCCCGGACCCGGTGGCTTAAAACTCACGCCGGGCGCGTGTGCGTGCGTGCCCAAGATCCCGAGAGGAGAATGGAGGAGAAGGGATTGCGGCGTGACCATCCCCCCTGAGGGGTGATTTCTCGCTTTCTGTCTCTATGTCTCTCTCTGTCTGTCTGGCGAACGCACGCGCCCTACAGTGAAAATCTCTCTCAAAAAAAAAAAAAAAAAAAAAAGAAAGAAAGTACATTAAAGGCATAGAAGCATGGGAGTTTTTTTTTTTTTTTTTTAAGGATACATCACAAAGAAAAAATACTGGTAAACGCAACTAAGTTAAAATGTGAAGTTCTGGAGCCAGCAGGTGACATGGTGGTTGAGATGAGGGAGTCCCACATGGTTGACTGCAGTTCGAGTCCCAGCCCAGTAGTGTGGGCACACACTGGGTGCATGTGCGTGCCCAGGGCCTGGGAGGAGAATGGAGCAGAAGGGACTACAGCGAAGTCACCCTCTCAGGGGCGACTTCTCACCTTCTGTCTCTCTGGCAAGTGCATGCACCCTACAGCAAAATCTCTCTCAAAAAAAAATAAAAAGAAATTTAAAATTTCTACTATGTGATGTCATTTTAAGTGTTTTATTTTTCATCTATAGTTTATATGCCTGAAGTATTTTTTAATACTACTACTACTACAGTAAGTAAAGGCATATTCATATCTGCTTTTAAAATGTCCATTTTTCTGAATTGGCCAGAATTAAATATGTCCCAGTATTGACTGATTCTCAAAATTTATGACCGTTTATAATCATTCCCAAAAAATTCAACACTTAGGTATAAATCTAATAAAAACACAGGTAGGATCTATATGCTGAAAATTACAAAATGCTAGTGGAAGAAACTGAAGACTTCCATGAGTTCTTCTCTTGAATACGACATGAAACGCAAACTGAGAGTATGTGTCGGGATGGTCAGTCCACTTAGCATCTTTCTCAGGGACAAGGAAAGAGAAAGACTTCTGTAGCCACAACCTAAAAATGTGTCCTACTGACCAACAGTAGAACACACAGTAGGCAGGTCCAGCCCAGTGAGTCCAAGAGACAATACACAAAAAATCTCCAGTTTTGCTGCCTGGATTCAGAACTCAAGACCTAAGGGCAAGAATTAAAATCCAATGCAAAACAAAAATAAATGAAATGATTACTACTGAGTTCTCTGTGGTCCTCTCAGGTGAAAGATTATAAAAAAATATTTACGTTCCCTCTGTCAAAAATCAGAAACACTCCAGCATGCAAAGAAAAAAGGTCCAGAAAGGAAATGTCCAGACCGAGTATTGATCTGCGATAGAGGAACTGCCACCACCAAGCAAAGACCTTTGCGGAGTATGAAAATCGACAACCAGGCTGCTTCAGATGCCAGAAGAACCCTGCTGTCCCTTCTCCCCTTGGCATTCGGGCACACTCAAGCCAGCTGTGTCGCTGTTAGTCCTGTCTGACCGTATCAGATACAGATCCGGATGCTGAGTCCACTGAAAAGCATCAGCCGTGGGAGGAAAGGTAACGCTTACTGAATCCACTGACCCTTCAGACAGTTAAGGAGAGCAAAGACAGAGAAGTATCTATGTCAGAAAATTTAAAAATAAGTCACATAATTATTAGTATCTAATTTCTATTTTCTAATTTGTATTTTGCATGCCACATATTCTTTCTCTATATGAACAATAACCAATACAATGCATCTAAAAAATATTGTTTTACCCAATATCACCTAAATATACTTACTATTACATTCTTACTCCAAAGGCAAAAAGCCCTGGGGCTAGACGGTGATACCGTGGTAGGACAGGTGCTCAATGTGAGGCCGAGCCACAGGGGAAGGGGGAAGGTGCCCATTCCTGTCGCGATCTCCCTATGGACACCAGGGACACACGTGTCCATGACCTGGACTGGC